TTGGCAATGCACTTGCTGTCAAACAAAATTTCAAAAATCTAAACTAGGAACTACTTCTCAACTTCTACGTCATGTGAGGGATTGTGGACAAATCAAAGCGAATAATAAGGAAGTCGTTGGTCTTGCCGAAAAAAGACAAAAATTGTTGAATTTTACGCCAACTGATTTTGATGCAGATGTTGAGATTCCAGTTTTTCACGATTCAAAACACTATGATCAACACAAGATTAGAGAGATAATCTCCAAAATGATTATAGTGCATGAGTATCCTTTTAATGTTGTTGAGCATACATGGTTTAACATTTTATTGAAGTCCTTAAACCCAAATTATGAGAGGGTTTCAAGGAACACAATAAAAACTGATTGCATGAAACTTTATGAGTTCGAAAAAGAGAAGCTTAAAAAACAATTTAGGGATATTCACAGGTTTTCATTAACCTCTGATTGTTGGACTTCCAATCAAACAATTGGATATATGTGTTTAACTGCTCATTACATTGATCATAATTGGAAGATGCAAAAACGAATTATTAATTTCATTGAATTGGATCCGCCTCATACTGGCACATTCATTTGTGATGTCATTTGTGATTGCTTGTTAGAGTGGAAGATACAGGACAAAGTATGTACTATCACTTTAGATAATGCTAGTAATAATGATGTTGCTGCTAGTTTGCTCCAATCTAATTTTATGACAAGAGGGAACCACTCATTCGAAAACACATATGGTAACTCTCTCAATAATTAACTTGTATGGTATATGTTCTTTTTCATCTTAAAACTGATATTGATATATATTTCCTACCGGCAAGAATTAATGGAAGAGGAACAGCTTGAAGTAGCTTTACCCGAGTAAATAGCGGGGAAGGAGGAAATGATATTTGCTGAATTGCTATTACCCGAACAATTACGTGATGTTTACTTTACCCAAGGAAATTATTGTTAACATTTTATGTCATACATGTTTGCTGAACTCCCAGAATTATGCTTTTTTGGAGATGTTACTATGCCTTTCCAAATTAATTTTGTACTATGGCTTTCCAAATGAATTTTCTGGAATCTCTTGAGAAAACAATATTTGATGCATTCTGGAAGTTGTTCTTTACAAAGCATTCATTTTTACAGATGGCCTTAATTACAGATGGCCATAATTAGGTTCTAATGCATTATGAAAGATGTTCTTTA